ACCTTGAGACAAAATCCACTGTCCAAACTCACCTAGAATCCAGATGAACCTCTCTGTAGGGTAGGTGGATGGAGGTTTACCTGAGAAAGCTCAGAAGTTTTCTTCAGCGTTGGTGCAGCATCTCTGTGTAATAGGCTGTGCACAGGCTGCTGTATTCTTCATACAGCTGACAGAAGTATCTAAGAGACGTCTGTCAGATGAGGACCTCATATGAGGATCAGATGTGGATGGATTTGGGATAATCTGTGCTTCTAGCCTCTCTTGAAATTCCGCTGAAGGATTCATGCCTCACTGCTAGCCTTTATTTCCAAGCTTTAGCAACAGCCAAATTTTGCCATTAGTATCTTTGCCAAGCAGTATTACATTTCTGAAGTATATTCCCTGATACAAACATTATTTGATACAAGCAAGGCTGTAATATCAAGCCCTTAATAAATCGTTTGCCACCTTTTTTTATGGTGATTCCTCCCTATTTGATGAAACAGTGAAACAGTGCTACTGGTAATGGATGTGAAGGACTGCAGAATCGTCTCAGAGTTATGAAAATTAAAATTTCTGTATTAAGAAATTTAGGTTCAGACTTATGAGAAGCCTGAACTTCACACCCAGTGGCAAAATTCAATTTGCATTTGATCTCACCCCAGGTGCTTAAATCATGATGTACTGGGGATTTGTTTAGAGCTGGGAAGCTGATAGTAAAAATTCTTACAGAAGAAGGAGCTTGCTTGCAGAAATAGTATCACCAGTGGATATGCTGAACACTCTAATTATGGTCACAGCAGGCACTTCGAGCTCAGCAGAAATTATGTTGATATTTGCATTGTTTATCTAGGAGAATCATAAGGGAAATAATAACCAGAACTGTGTTACTGCAAAAACAACTAATATAAAAACACAATGGAGAAATGCTCAGTGTTGGACAATTCTTTTGAGATACATTGTTCCGCAAGCTAAACTCAATTTAAATCTAATTTAATATTTCATTGTCTACCATGGATTATTTATATCAAAAATGAAATAACTTGAAAACTGCCAGTCGTACTGTGATAAGACATATGAGAAATTTAGAGATTGAAAATTCAGAGCAAAGGACAACCACTAGCATTCCAAATCATACTGTCCTTATAAGCACAGAGCTTTTAAGCTGCCTAGAAGTGTGGTATGTATGATTATTTTGTTTCTTCCAGGTTTATGACATTTTTTTATAGCTCTAAGCACGTCTCTAGAAATACTGGTGCAGCCTAGGTTTAAGGAAAAAAGAATCAAGCCTACAGAGGGAGTATTCTAACAGGGAAATGTAACAATGGGATCTTTGCTTTGGAAGTGTGCTGTACTCTCTGCAAAAAGGGTATTTGCTTCAGCAAAAGTGTTACTTCTATGACAGGTTGATCAGAATTTTATAGATAGCTCATTATAGAGAATGCAACAGTTCAGCTTCTAAAATTCATGGTCTTTCTTGTGCTTCCTTTCATTGACAACAGAATTAAGAGAACAGATTCACAGGGTGGGTGCAGTAAGTTACAGAAGTCAGTTTCACAGACTCTGAATTTATCTGATATACAAAAGTCACTACTTTGTTTATATTCTAATAAATTTTCTCTTTATTATAAATCTTTGTGGTGGTTTTGAGCACAGCAGTTAATGAGATATAATCAATCTCAAAGTTTCTAATGAAGTTTTAAAAGGGACTCATGTCACTTGGATCTACAGACTATTTTTTTTATTCCTAAAAATTTTTCCTTTTTTAAAGAGATGGAAAAAACCCAGTGGTTTATTTTTTCTTTTATTTCTCACAGATACTTATTGCCTTGAACTTTTCCCATATTTAACTGTACAAACATGGTATTTTCTGGAGCCAATGTACAGTAAAAGCTACTAGCAGTGAAATTATTAAGGATATGTTAACAAATTTAGTTGATATTTACTTCCCACTAGTCTATGACAGTATGCCAAGGGCACTCTTGACAAATTTAGTTTATTAAACTCACTGAAAACTAACAAAGCTATATCTGTGATTGATCTGAAGCAGGAGATACCTTCAGCAGTGAGCAATCTTTCTGATTAACAGATAAATCTGCCTTTTAAAGCTGTGTGTTTCTTCCTGAATGCTGGTCTCACTCTTCTTGCATTCAATACATTCACAGCTGCAGAACAAGGGGTTATGTATGGCAGCCTTAAGTATCTTCAGCTCTTCTCAGTTGTTATGTTGTAATTAGTGCCTCAAAGGTTCAAGCCGTTTATATGATACCATTTTCTGTCTAAAAGTCAAATGGAAAGACAGGATTCTCCAGTCCCTTCTTGGGGAAGGGATATATGAGTAAAGGAGGTAACCAGCAGGCATGTTTTTGTGTCTGTACCCATACCCTTCTCTGTGTTACTTGCTGATTGCCCCAGGGCTATCTTAACTTACATCTAGCTGTCTCTTTACATCTACTTTAATTCTTTTCAAGAAGGATTTCTGTATCTCATTGCTTTGCTGGTTTCACAGTTCCAAGCTTGTACAGCCAATCTAGCCTGAAAATTCCCTACTTTGGTGAGAGGATGGGTATGCTGCTGCGATTTTCTGCCATTCTCTTTTGCATATGTCTGCTCTGCCTTTCAGTATGCATGAGTGACTTTATAGCTTTTGGAACACGCTTAATGGATTAGTTGAGCTAAGCTGACTATATGACTGGTGCAAGGCAAGACTACATTTCCTGTGCAGGTGACAGTAGTCCCAGTGGGTCATTCTGACATCCAAAGATAGCCTTAGCTGGCATACTTACTATTCTTTCTTTCTTTACTCATGGGCACAAGCCATGCTTTAGCAGAGAAGCGTTGTAGCACACAGTTCTTGAGGAGGTTTGTACTAGTGGGCTTTTAGAGCTTTGAATGACAGTAGTAAAGGCAGTTTGTCCACATATGTTAAATCTCAGACTATACCCTGTAAAGAGGAGACAGATTAAGGAGGAGAACTCAGTTTTGCAATACTATTCACACTGCTTTGCACTTTGCCCAGAAACTCATGTTAAGCCATGGTATGTAGGTAGGACATGCAGTAAAGTTAATAAGCCTGTCTCGTCTTAAACCCACCTTCCTCCTAAGCACTTGAATGTAAGGAAATTTCTGTTTCAGACATCTACTTGCACTTAAAAAATGAGACACCCATGCTTCTGTATGATTTGCATTTTTTTCTTTGTAGAGCTCTCATTCATTCATTATTTCCCTAGATATCTATTCAACACTCATTTCAGCCATCACCATTTTACCTGAGCAGTAGGGAAAACGAGTTTTCACAGCTTTCGTGCATATGCACACACTCACACACTGTTGACCCAGTAATTATTTATCTCAAACATATAAGACTTCTGACCTGTATCTAATTTTTTGAGTGCTTTTGAGTACTTAAAAGTAACTTTTAAGACAAACACAATTAGAAATAATATTAATTTAGAATAGCCACATAATAGTAATATAGCATAGGAAGAAAAATATTGAGTTTTAATTATTTAATGGTACAGTGTATTTTTTCCTCCTGTTACAAGGCATATTTTTAATTCAAAGTTGTTAAATTTAGCATATCTTAACTTCAGCTGTTTTTTTCCAGTAATAAAAGCAACTTCATGTTGTAAGTACTCTAATGGAATATGCTGGATAAATCACATCCATAACGAAAAATACTTTGTATTTTACATTTAAATTATAAGAATTGAAAGAAAAAGGAAGAGGGATTTCCCTGAGGAATAAGAGGGATTTTGCATCTGAAACAATAATTTCTACTTTAAGGGGGGACTAAGATGTTTAATAAAAAGAATACATGAACTTAAATAATTCCTAGAAATTAATATGTATGTAGGATTAATGTACACAGATGAATGTATTTTAAAGGTTGATTAAATGTCCTCAAATTGCTGTAGTTCTCAGCTGTCTAGAAGAATGTACCACACCAATCCATGAAGTTCTTTATATTTCCATGCGTTAAGTATAGTCATGTGCGTGCAGATTGGGATCTGCCAGACTATGATACAAATATATTATGAAACCAAAGAAGAAGTCCCATAGGCAGGCATTTCTGTCTATGTGCCTGTATCCAACAAACCATTCATACACTTGGGTCTTTGTTAAGTGAATGAGAAATGCAATCAAGAGTTAAAACAGGTTTCACTGTGTACACAGATTTCAGAAGTGTGCTTGCTCTTCTTTCCCTAATGGAAACTAAATGGGAAATGTTTTTCATCAGATTCATCTGGATTTTTCAACTTTGTGAACTTCATCTGTGGCACCTGAGTGTTCACAATATACGAAAACTTTGGACTGTATTATGCAAGATATCAGATGTAGGTAACTGATAGCAGACTGGAACACTGAAAATTTACCCATGTTCTAGGATCATCTATCTGATGGCATACGTACCTAACTCATCTTCTGTGCTGCATGTATACTGCAGACCAGTGTAGACTGATGACAATTTCCCCTCCTGATCTGACAGTGGCCCTTTCAAAGCATCTGCTTTCATTTTTTATATTCTTGAGATGAACTACTTGTTTTGCCATGAATTTCTGTACTTGGGGACTACTTGCTATTTTTCCATGGTGTGAGAATGGATTTTTTACGTGTCAAATTTACTAACAGTAAAAACACATTTTTGCTGAAATACTGGATGAGACGACAGTCAAAGGAGTTCTGTCTGTAAAAAATTGAGAGTAAATGTGTGAGTTTTTGAGTAGAGTCTCTGTTAGCAGTACTGATCTTGGAATCCCTGCATAGTGGTGAATACAACTAATAAGTTGTAAGATGGGAATACTTCAAGGAAGCTAAGGAACAGCTTCAGCTAAGATACCACTTCAGCTAACACCATACTCTTAACATTTTTCTTGTAAGAATAGAGATTTTTTTTTTTTAATTGCTGTGTGTTGTAAATGAAACTGCTGAGCAGTTGGAAACCCCTATAAGGTTTTCAAATAACTTAAAAAAGAATGGTATTTCTGTTTGGATCTGACTAACTTTGTCTCTTTCCTAAGTTGCTGACCAGCAAAGAAGAGAGAAACTTAAAAAGAAGATAGCCAGGTGTGAAGAGGAAATGAGTGTGGGGAAAACTGCCTCCCGATCCAGCTCAAGAGAGAGTGGAAGGCTGCTGCCATCCTCTTTTGGAAAGGTAGATTTTTAAATTTTGTTTAGTAGATATCAGTCTACTTACCTCAGCATAATAACAGCTGATCACTGCTGTGCAGCAGCTCTGGACGGAGGGCTGGCATATTTCAAGCAGCAGAAAATAGAGAAGGGTCTTCCTGGCATGTGCCCAACACCAAATGCATGTCTCAGCCTTCTGACAAAGATGGCAGGTATCTGGATGAAGAGTGCTTGTGGTAACAGTCAGGCTCTAGTTACCCTTAAATTCTCTCACTTTCATCTCAGCTTAAATTCACATGTCCTCTCTGTCACTCCAGAGCTTTCTACCCTTTCTTTCCTAAGGCAGAACTCTATTTACCATTAATCTTCCTAGAGGAAGAGTCAAGAATCTTCTTTTTTTTTTTTTTTCTGTATCCAAAGTTCTACTTTGGAAATATATCTCATAGCTAACAATATGCTACATGCTCAAATTGCAGTTACTCATAGTGAAAATAGTACTTAAGCCATCAAAACAGGTGCTTTTCTGTCTGTATACATAGGTTCACTTATTTTGGCTGGCTTTTCATCCACATATGTGCTGCATATTTCCAAATAATAAATAAATAACCTAATAAATTACATTCTCTTGCTCATCACTATAAAGGAAAAAATTTCAACTTAAAGCAGAATGATGTTTTAACTCTGTTAATTTTAACAGCAAATACTTCATATGTTGTTTAAATATCTGTAGAGCTGGAGAACATTTTCAAGTAGTACAGAAAGCTCACCATTAGTTTCTTTCTTTGTGACTGGTTTTTGTCTGAGTGTGACATTATTGCAGTGTAGAGAAATAATGCTTTGGAATTCAGCACAAGGCTTTTAGTTATGGATGAAAGCACAGGCATGCATAAGAAAGGGGGGAAATAGCATCTTTAAAATCCAAATTTTCATTTTTATGAATAACATTTTTTTCCTTCCATGTTATTTTCTGCAAACTGGGGGCAGAAGTTCCTTAAATTATTTCCTCGCAAAACCAAATAAAGTGTGCTTAAAATGTATCTCTAATCATTGCATAAATCCTCAGTTTTAAAATGAAAGGATTCATTTGTGGTCTTTAACATAATGTTATAACAGACTGTTACTTTTGTCCTTTGTTTTAATCATTTGCAAAACAAGGTCTTCCTAAAATAATGATCTGTCCCAGTTCTTGTAATCAGTTCCCACCAACATTTGTCTTGAACGTGTAGTATGTATCATGCCAACAGAAACTGCAGCTTTCCTTATGTTTGTTAGCCTCAGGGTATAATTCATCAAACTGTCTGAATCTGAATTTCAAGTTATCAACCAAAAAGTATATTTTAGGAAGAGATGTTGGGAGAGTTGCCAAATGAATGTTTAACTGCACATAAAAAGTAATCTTTGGATAGAATACTTTTTTTGCCTCTAGGTGGCTTTTTTTAACTTTACAAATGTAAAGAGTAATTTTCACTAATACACTATTAGGCATTCTGTTAAACAAATCATTGATTGCTGGACTTACAAAATATGTTTCACTGTAGTATAAATGAGCACCAGTGAGTCTGTAAAAAGTGAAAATCTGTTAAGTGAGCCTTCTGTTAGAAGGGTAGGCAGTGGAAGTAATTGGGCTGTTATATTTTTGTGCTAAAAATAAAGCCCTATTTAAACTTTACTTCATTTGCCACAACATAGATTGATTTCCTATGCTTGTTTATACACCAAGGGAGAATTGTTCTCCTTCAGTGATTGGATGTCCTCTAATGCATTGTGAAGATGAGTTAGCCATTCTAATCGTATTTCTCTAGCCATCAGGATAAATCAATAGGTGACAGCTGGAAAACAAATTCTAAGGATGCCTATTAAAGCATGTGATAATGTAGAAGATTTTTGCCACACAGTAATCATATTATTGCTGTCACTGTTGCCGTTAGGAAAAATCTGATTATATATCCTCAGTTTGTGGAACTGCTCCAAAAATGGTTCTGTTGAATTAGGAAATTCATGGGTTGGGATGAGATTCAGCACAAATTTGAAGCAGTCAACTTTGGAATACTCAAGGTTTCCAAGGAGGTAATGGCAAGAGTAGAATATGGTCCTGTGCTTAATAAGCATCTGACAGCATTATGGAAGGAGTGGAAGAAAGAGAGACAAGTAGAATTCTCCTGGCTTTGCCGCTCTTACATTCAAACGTAAGAATACAAAAGTTAAAAAAATTACTTTTATGGTGGCTAATTTCTTGCCTATAAAATGTGGCTCTTGTAAAATGTGTATCAATTTAAGAGTAACATATATACATATATATGTATATAAAAATATAATAACCCTTGTAACTCTGACAAGGTCAATGTCTGGCTAGATTATAGGCTCAATACGTGCTAGCCAGTTTTGATATATGCACCTGACTTTCTATTTCCAAAATACTTCATTCTGCTAAGTCTGGTGCCTTTATTTCATCATTTTCATTTTTCACATAGCTGCGTTTATTATTATTTAATGCTGCAGTAGAGCACAGTAACTGTTTTCAATTGAGACTGTGCTTTGTGCATGGTAAAACCAGAAAGAAGTAAAAATAATTCTTCTAAACTACATATGCAGACTGACTATACTCATACAGGTCTTATTTGTTCACATATTTGTGTGAATTTTCTCACTTGCCTTTCTTAATTCCTAACTAATTATCAAAGTGTGTAATGAAATGAACAGATGACATACAAGGGGGTTGTGAGAGCAGCAACTGTAAAGGCAGCTTGTTGCTCACTGCAGGAGACCTTTGCTCTGTCCAGACAGCAGAGAGCAGGCACTCAGCCCACATACAGCAATATTTAAGTGGCTTATAAATGGAACTGTCTCAAGTTAAAAAAATCAGATGTTTATTTATTACAAAATTGCAGCATCTGTATCTTGACAGTGCAGCTCATAAAGTGTCTCTCTGATCTCATTTTATGATGGTAGATGAACTGTTCTATTGGAAGACCTTCCCATTCAAAACCAAGTTAATTTCAAGACTTAAATTAATCTTGGTGTAACCTCAGTGACACCAGTGAAAGGTGCCTTTGGACCCGTTATGTGAAAATAGATTTAGCAAGCTTTCTTTTCTAAGTTTGTTTTTTACAAGGCAGCTGGTATCTCAGTACCAGGATTTTGTGTAGAGAAACTAAACTTTTTTAGAAAGTAGAAGTAACTTAGAGAAAAATCTGGATTCTTTCTCCATGTTACTTCTCTTGCCCATCAGATGACAGCGGTATGCTTTCATCTGTTTTACTGAACTTTGTCTTCCACAGAGTCCATGAAGATTCAGAGGTTCTCTCTATACAAGCTTGCTGCAAGTAATATTCTATGTACCTCGGTTTTGTGACTAACAAAATTGAAGCATAAATATGTAATTTATGAAACCTTTTTAAGGGTGTATTATTGCTGAAATGTACCACTGAGTTAATTTCTATCTTTCAAATAAGCAAGATAGGTGTCAAGATTCTTGACTCCAAATTACATTAGTTATAGTTCTAACTAGAGCTAAATCTGTGATACTTCCATGGAATATTTTTTTTTTAATTGTATCTGAAGAACAGAGCCAAATATATTTCAACCACTCCATATTTGTAGGCATGTTTTTGTCTTTTTTTTTTCCCAGCTAAACATCTGATGTTTTTATAGATATTATATTAGAGAAGAAAATGAACATGCTTGCTTATAGTTAACTTGCCTATACCAACACAGGTGTACAAATAGTTTGCTGAAAGCTTGGTGACAAATTGCAGACAAACAACATTCTTTGTCACTCATTAAAATCCTTTTGAGGCCACCAACATAGTTCCTTGTTCCTGATGTTTCTTTGTGTATCCAAAGGCTGAACTGCCTGCCTATTTGGGCTGTAAAGGTTTGCCCCAAGATAAAAGGGCCTCAAAAGATATTCTTCTTTCTCAGTACTTGAATGAGTACTTCTCAAGACTGACACAAATATGGCTTGGTTTGCAGCTCTTTCTAGTCACCTTAGCTACTTGGTCTTTCTACTTATGATACATTTGAGGAGGAGAAGAAAGAACTTCCCTAAGCATCCTCATAAATAAGGAATGCTTAAATTTAGAGTATTGCTGCATTTACCCTGTACCTTTGTCTTGTTTTAGGATTACCTCAACCTTTTCCAAGGAATACAACAAGTGGCTTTCATGAGGTATAGTTGTGTAATTGGCTAATATCACTTAATATTTTTTTATTATAATTTGGTATATTGCAGGGCACCAGTCATCATACGTTCACAAATGCTTCTTCAATCTGATTTATATTGCAGCTACATGAACTGTTTTAATCACTGAACTGAGAGTAAAAAGTATACATGAAAAATTAAGCTGTTTATAATACATACTGAAGGGTATAGAATTAGACACTTATATAGACCTATTCTGAAGCTTTCCAATCTTACCTGTTTTCTGTAATGCTGAGCTACCAGTGCAAGTACTTTTTATGCAAATAATCACACTGGTAAGTGTATTGGGTTTGCATGGCAAGGTTTTGGTAGCAGGGTGGTGTCCTGTTTTTGGCTGGGATAGAGGTAACTTTCTTCCTAGTAGCTGGTATAGTGCTGTGTTTTGAATTTAGGATGAGAATACTGTTGATAACACACTAATGTCTTAGTTGTTGCTAAGCAGTGGTCAAGGACTCTTCAGCATCTGATACTACCCTGCCAGTGAGTAAACTGGGAGGCACAAGAAGTTGTAAGGAGACATAGCCAGGACAGCTGACCCAAACAGGCCAAAGGGATATTCCATACCATGTGGTGTCATGCTCAGTATATAAGCTAGGGGGAGAGCTGGCTGGGAGCTGCTGCTCAGGAATTGGCTGCGCATCGGTCAGCAGTTGATGAGCAATTGCATTGTGCATCACTTGTTTTGTATATTCAAGTTATAATTATTTTGAATACAATATTTATATAATTATGACAATATAATAATTATTATAATTATTATAATTATTATATATTATTATTTTCCCTTCCTATTCTGTTCTGTTAAACTGCCTTTATCTCAACCCACAAATTTTACTCTTTTTTTCTGATTCTCTCCCCTTCCCCCTTGAGGGGGCAGTCAGCAAACGACTGTGTGGTGTTTAGCTGCCTGTCAGGTTAAACCATGACAGGGGGCTACAAGGGTGGCTTCTGTGAGAAGCTGCTAGAAGCTTCCCCTGTGTTGAATAGAGCCAATGCCAGCCGGCTCCAAGACAGACCCACTGCTGGCCAAGGCTGAGCCCATCAGTGACAGTGGTAGTGCCTCTGGGTTAACATATTTAAGAATGGTGGGGAAGGAAAACAAACTGTGCAACTGCAGCCAAAGAGAAGAGTGAGAATATGGGAGAGAAACGATTCTGCAGACACCAAGCAATGAAGAAGGAGAGGGAGGACATGCTCCAGACACCAGTCCGGAGATTCCCCTGCAGCCCGCGGTGCAGCCCATGGTGAGGCAGCTGTGCCCCTGCAGCCCGTGGAGGTCCACAGTGAAACAGATCTCCACCTGCAGCCCGGGGAGGATGCCACAATGGAGCAGGTGGGTGCTCCTGAAGGAACCTGTGACCCCATGGGAAGCCCATGCTGGAGCAGGCTCCTGGCAGGACCTGTGGCCCAATGGAGAGAGAAGCCCATGCTGGATCAGGTTTGCTGGCAGGAGCTGTGACCCCGTGGGAGACCCACGCTGGAGCCGTCTGTTCCTGAAGAGCTGCAGCCTGTGGGAAGGACTCATGTTGGATTTTATGGAGGACTGCAAGGGACTCCACAGTGGAGCAGGGGAGGAGTGTGAGGAGTCCTCCCCCTGAAGAGGAAGGAGCAGCAGAGACAATCTGTGATGAGCTGACCGTATCCCCCATTCCCCATCCCCCTGTGCTGCTAGTGAGAAAATCAGGAGTAAAGTTAAGGCCAGGAAGAAGGGAGGGGTGGAGAAAGGTGTTTTAAAATTTGGTTTTATTTCTCATTATCCTACTCTGATTTGATTGGTAATAAATTAAACTAATTTTCCCAAGCGGAGTCTGTTTTGCCCATGACGGTAATTGCTGAGTGATCTCCCTGTCCTTATCTCGAGCTATGAGCCTTTTGTTTTATTTTCTCTCCCCGTGCAGCTGAGGAGGGGAGTGATAGAGCAGCCTTGGTGGGCACCTGGCATCCAGCCAGGGTCAACCCACCACAGTAAGCCACATTATACTGCTTGCTAACACAGGCATTTGTTTGGCATTGTCACTGCATGTTATCAGTTCAGCATTTAATTATGCTGTAGTAGTAAAATCAAGTTGGCTCACATGAGACACCACCAAGAAGGGCTTATTTTTGGCTCAGCTAACTGAAAAAAATAAACTCTTTGCATTAGGCATCAGCAACTATGGACATTTTGGAGTACTAGAATAGCATAGAGAGGTCTTACCCTATCTGTGTGTTAAGATACATACTACTGATATGGGAGAAAATTGTTGTGTGGAATTGTTGTGAAGGAAATATATGGTATAACAGCAGTGTGATCTGTGACTTAATTTTGATGGTAAATTATCTGTGTTTTTTACTATTCCTCTAAATAGCATTTTCTACATGCCACAAAATGTATATTCATCCCCTTAGTCTTAGTTTAAAATATTAGTGGGTCTGAAAGGGAAAAAATGCAATAGTGTAGATTCAAAGCAGTAACAGTAGCAGTGTTATGAGAAAATGCAGCATTTATACAGTAAGAGTCATATTGATTAGAACTTCTAAGAACACCTTTTTAGGATTTGAATGATAGAATGATAGAATAGATAGAATAGAAACACTTCTACTTGTATAGATTCTCTTCAGTTTTGTAGTTTAGTTGCTGTTGATGTGGAGCTCTATGGACTGAGTGTAAGGAAAGTAAATTATTTATTTTTAAAAGTCTGGGTAGTTAGTTAAAACTGAATTAATTTGGCTTTGTTAGCTGTTGATTTTAAATTGGGTTTTCTCGGATGTCATTTTGATTTAGCTGTTATTTTGCCTTGTATTATACTGATTGCATGGTATGGCACTGAGATTTTACAGAATAATTACTGTCCTCAGGTTGTCTTTTTCACTGTTTCAGGACCTAGGTGCAAGCACTGTCTCTGGGAGTTGTACTGCAAGGTAGTCTGAGTACACACAGTGTGGGTCATCTCTTCTCCATCATATGGTTGTGTGTAACAGAACTTGAATTGCATAAATAGTTATGTGGATGAAATAAGTTATAGAAAATTTGTTTGCTGTTAGGTTTCTCGTTTAATGTTCTAATTCTGCAGTATGCCTGTCTTTGGAAATTGTGAAACGTTACACATACTTTTCACTGTCTGACAGAATATTCAGTGGGTGGCTGTATCCCAGGCAAGAAAAGAAGGTACAACTGCTGTCTTGATAAGATACTTCCTAAATTTTCAGACACATTGTAAAGCGCATTTACTAGTACACATACCCGGTCCAGTTTGCAAATTTTTCAAAATCCTTTCTATAACAGAAATAAAATTTGTATTGAATTGTTCTTTCTAATTTGACAAAAAAAAAAAACCAAACAAAAAAAAAACAACACCAACTTAAGATGTCAGTTAGATTTAGTTGTCTCACTTGTCTTTGCCACAGTATCATAATACAATTCAGGAATAATGTTGAATTTTTAAGCATTAAGTAGGTTTTTTTCAGAAAGCAGAAAAAATAGTATGCTCTTTCTAAATAATCTGTTCTTTAACCTTTCTCAATGATAGACTTAGTTTTCAAATTTTGATTATAGGTTACCAACTGTTTTCTTATCCCTGGCATTAAAATCATGTTTCTGGTAAGAATCAGCCCTTCTAACACTGATTATGTTGGAAAATTCCCCATCACCTTCCACAGGACAGATTTATGTTCATGATCATCACTAGTTTCTGGTGTACTTGGCTTCCTCCTTATTAACTACTCTTAATATGTGTTGCAGTGCTTCACAAACTTTTTAACTTATTCAAGACATAAAAATAACCTTACAGATCTTAAAAAGAACAGATGCATAGATGAGCTTTTGCTGTAAGGTTTTCCATTTAGTTTTGATTGTCTTCCACATCAATGAGATTTGTCTGGCTAGATTCTGTACAAAATAGATGGTTACTGAAAACAGCAATTAGGTGTTCTTACTAATTAAAGTTGACACCTGGACTTCAATCTACATACAAAATAGTCTTATATTGTGCTTCTTTTGGTGAGGAGTGAGTTAGCTGACCCCGCACTGCCTACATCTTACCTTAGCCATGCCACCATGTACTACTGATTTGTCTCTTAGTAGTTGTCTTACTAGTAGCCTTGTAACTGTATCCTTTTAAAGTAACATTGAATATGAATTTCCTTCTGAGAATGGAAGTACATTTTTAAACTCTCATGTGTTGAACAGTTAAGAAGCAGGAGCAGTAATACCATTTCTCTGCCATCACCTGAAATCAAGTATATCTATTCATAAACTGAGCATGTTGTTATTTGTCCTGTTTAACTGTAGTATACTTGCAGTGTCGCCTTTCTGTAGTATTAGAGGGGAAGTTTCACAGCTGCCTATGTACCTCCTGGCTTGAGAGACCCAAAGAAGAACAGGACAGATGCTTGACTGCGTCTGCTGGAGAACATTATGATTGTTTGCATTATCATAGCAATTAGGACATTTCTCATGGAGCAGGATAGCATTACAGAAGGTAACATCGTGTGTTCATACAGCTCTACCAGAGATGTGCCTCTCCCACCTACAGGAAGAAAAGAGTCACACAGTTATAGTTTTCTTCTGATTCTGTGTCTAAACCACATTACAGTATTTTCCATGTTGGTCTAAACTAAATCAGTGAGCAGTGCCCCTTACAGAATATACATCTTACAAAGATGGCTGGTGTATGATACACTTTGAAGCTAATAGGATTTGTCAAGAGAGGCAACAACTCCACACATGAAAAGAATACATATTACAAACTAGTCAGTAGGATAATTGTGGATAATGTCTACCTTACCTTGCCCAGGTGGTATGAACAGAGCATACCCAGATAAAATAATTTGCCTCAATGCAATGATTCCTTGACTCATAAAAATGTACTGAGCCGTTTGACTAAAATGATTAAAACTTTTGGTTTGATGTAGACATCAGCATTCTGTAACAAAGCACCAGTGTGTTACTACTGAAGCAAACCATTTTCTTACTATTCTCTTATTTCCAATTACTAGGTTTTAAAATCTGTTAGCACTGGGACTACTCTGAAACCAGTCTGATTTTACAAAAATTGAAAGTTTTTACATAGAAAATACCTCCAAGTTGGTAACAGTAATAGCTGGGAGTACCCACTTGAGCAAAGCTGTTAACGTGCAAAGCAATCAAGGCTTGTTTTAATTTTTTCTAGAGTTTCTTGGAGGCGGAAGGCAAAGACAGTCTCTTCACCTGTGGTCGACAGGCACAGTACCTATCAAGAGCGCTGTCTTCTTATGGCGAGCATGGCTTGGGTTGCTCCAGTCCAGTAAAATATGCCAGAAAAATTTCTCGGAATACATCTAACGCATCTAACTCAAACTCAAGTGTCAGTATGTCAAGTACACCAAGAAAACGCTCTGGACTTTCCTGCAGTTGCTCCACTGATAGTTTTGTGAGCATTAATCGCTCCCAGAGGTGTCAAGGAAGCAACTCCAAAGTATGCAGTGGGGATCTTCTAAACAGGCACTCTGAATTCTTTACTGATAGGCAAAAACCTTTTACTCCGCGCACCTTAATATCAGATGCTAAATCTTTCCTGTCAGAGTACAGGTATTACACTCCTGCTCGAAGAAAAAGGAAAAATCACTGCAAGCAGCATGTGGAAGCTCAAACACAGACTGATGTGATCAGGTACAGAAATTAAAACTTTATTTTGAACCTATGGAATTTAGATGTTATTCTAACAGTATCTTCATAAAAGCAACATGTTTTGCTTTCATTTACTTTTTTATAAAACCAGAATAATTATTCTGGAACAGTTCTGTCTATGCTGTAGTAAAAGCTAGAACAGAATGGGATTTTCATTTTTTCACTGGCATATTTTGTTGTCTTCTCTTTGGAGCAACTGATGTCATCTATACAAATTGGATACCAACTGCCACTAAATCCAGACTGTGGGATCTCACCTCTGCTGGGGGTAGTCATTCTCTATCTTTTCTTTGCTCTCTGGTATATAGTTGTGCTTTCTGTCTTCTAAAGAATTAACCACTACAAGATGCAAGTAGTTCCCCACTCTTGCCCCTGTAGTCAATTTCCCCCCCCCTTTTTTTTTGCACTTGAATGCAGTGCTTGTCTTCTTATTATTTTAATTTAAAAGCCCCTAGATGTATGCTATATGAAATATTTTATACAAAATTAATGTCTTTCTCTTGCCTTGAACTCCTCCTTAAACAGTTTTGATTTAACTTTGTTCTTACTGATACTACCTCATAGAGAAATTTTTTCTCTTTTGTGTCCTCAGTGCCTGCATGTCTAACTTTTTTTTTTTTTTTTCCCCACCTAGAACAAAGTAGGAATTTCATAAGGCTAGAATTAGGATAGCTTCAGCTCTGTATTGTAAATGTTGATTTTCTGGATGTGAGTCAAGTGTTTTCCTCATGGAATTTGAATATGTAGGATCATCTCCATTCTCAATTCTGAACAATTATTTTGAATCACCTATGCATGACTGTTGTGATACTTCAAAATGAACTATAACTTAGTTTTATTATGTGAGTAGACGTTTGGTAGAAATTTTTTAAACTGTCAGAGATATCTTAGTACTAGGTCCCATTCAGATTGATGGGAAATTTTCACAGTGGCACCGGTATCCCCATCCTGCATATTTTGAGGGTAGACTTCTTGGAAATCTCATCTATCTCTAAATTTTGTAGCTTTCCATCCGCAGACAAAGTGTCTGAGAGAAAAGTTATGACTGAACAGCAGAAGATCACATTGAAGGTAATACATCTATCAGTCATTTGGGTACTCTTACTACACCCTTCACCATAATTTTGGATATATACTTCATCTCTGCCACAGCAGTATACAACTGATTTCAGTTTTGTTTTCTTTACTGTCATAAGATTAATTACTTCTGTAGAGTAGAGAGAGTTTCAGAAGAATAAGTGGAAACAATAAGAAAAAATAGAGGCATGTGAAGAAATATTAGGATATTACAAAATTTTAATATATTTTTTTTCTTCAACAGTTTTTATAAGTGCACTATCATGTAAATATTTGTTAAGGACATAGGTAACTGGTACATTATTTTTCAGAAGAAGGTGGTACCTTTTTTGTAAGGATTTTTTTTTCTTCATTCTTGCATTGGACAACATATTCCAAAAAGACCTCAACAGAAGAACTGGAACCAAGGAGTCCCTTCCTCTATGAGGAAGCACTCAAACCAGTGGGTGATGAACTTTTCCTTGATACTGTTTGCTTTCTGTCTTGCTGAATGTATCTGGAATGCTTTAATGAAAAATCACACCACTTCAAATTCTACCAGGTCCTAGTATTTTTTTGTCTTAGTCACAGAAATGTTTACATCCATCATTTTGATTTCAATTTCTAGGTGTTTGTGACAGTTGAACTTAGGTTTTGGTTATTTGATCTTTCAGAAATTGTCTTTATGGGTGGTGGATTAAGATTATTAAATTTTAAAGATGAAATGGAATACCAGAATCTTTGGGAGGCAGAGGGAAGCAAGAAAAAGACCTGAGATATTTCTGAAGACTTCAAATCTGAAGTTATTTTGTCTTAATCTGTACTAATATTTGGATGGAAGAGTTTGATCAGAAGTTAGGTTCTTACTTTGTGCTTTATCTTGTAGCCACTGTACAGACAAGTCCTTAAACAGCCCACCCTGTCAAACATAAGTACTTGAATAACTGTGGACTTTCTTCCTGAATAAAGGCTACAGGGGCAGACTCGTGATGTCTCTAGTTTAATAGGGCAAATAATTTTGCTTTATTCATTGGAGAAGAGGGATGAGAGAGAATATATATTTATAGCTTTACTGAAAATAGAGGAGAGACCACCTGAATTCATCTGCAGCTGACCTTGTTAAGAAAAGGTTAAATGATTATTCTGAAGGTTTCACTCCAGTTCCATGAAGAACTTCTGATTTCATTTTCAGACTGTCTTATCTGACTTTTACTTTGGCTGTTGTAGAAGTGACAACAGTAGGTCATGTAGCTTTACCGTGGCCCTTTCAGAGTATTATCATTTAAAATGCAGGTAGTCAGCAGCTCAAGAGATGTGATTTAGAGAGCTGGTTCCTGGTTTTGCATACCAAATTTTACTCCTGTTGGTGACATGGATCCTCTCTAGCTTTTAGAGAATTCATCTTTGATGTACTTGTCAGGGGAGGAATGTTTCACATTCCCTGTTGCCCCTGACTAAACTTTTGGATCTCAAAGCCGAGTACCCTTTGCTGTCATATGTCTCACTTTACCTAAACTTCTGAGAAAATGCATAAAATTTGTAGGGCTGCTTAATCACAGATAGTTATTAGGTACATTTTAATGGTAAAATTTGCTCTGTATTTGCACTGATAATAAAGATTTTTTTTCTCTCTGTGTTGTAGACTGAAGATAGAAGATATACTGTGTCAGAGCCTGAGAGAGGAATAGCTGCTTTTCCGTACTCCTTCCTAAGGTGCCTGATTTACAGCAGAAAGGAGTATTTGAAGCATTCCTTTCTGCTTTCTATACAGCTGTTTCTTAGGCCATAAGCCTTCATTACCATTTCTCTTTATAAGTCTTCTCACAGGACTTTTGTTTGGTTGGATTTTTTACATCAATGGCCTTTCCCAACTTCAAAATTCATTACTTTCTTATGATAAAGTTCCACTAGAAAACCAATTAAGAAAGAGAACTCTGAAATATATGAGTATTTTTGTCAGGATTAAGAATGATGACACATTAATACAACTGTTAGTTCTGTACATCCAAGCATACATCTGAGCTTACATACTATGTATTTCTTATACAGTACTGCAACTAAATACTGGATTGTATTCCAGTTGGTATTTTCTTTAAGGAAAAAAGGTCTCCAGGCATCCAGACTTTTGAAGCTATGATCTGCAAGGATTTAGAATATTGTCACAATACAATAACAGTCTTGGAAATCAGGCCAGAACCCAAGGGCTTCCAGCTGATTCTCCTCATTGCTGACCTAAGTATCATGCGTGATTTGCTGATTTGCTCTCTGGCCTTTTCGTACAAAGGCATTTTTACCTGAGGAAAAAATTGTACTCGGAGTAAAAAAAAGCACTCTTTATGGGTAGTGCAGGTCTGTATAGCATCTGAGGTCTTTGAGGAATTAGTGCCTCTAGTGCCTCTAGTTAGTTGTTATAATACTCTTGAACCATAGTCTTTCAAGCTTCAATGTAAACAGTGGATTTTGCTATTGGAGCAAGGTTTGGGAGTGTTCTGATGTTTTTTTTCCAAGAGGAAATGGGATAATGGCACAGCATGGCTCCAGAAGAAAATGAGATAGAAGGTAGTAAAAAGGGGGTTTAGTATGTTACTCTCCTTCTTACCCTCTGATTTTCTGATTAGAGACACATCAATGTATTCTCATCAATCTTCAGCAAGGAGGACTATCGAGGCTGAGTAAGTATGCTTAAACCATTTTTCTGTAATTTTACAACATTAAACTAGAAACTCTTCCTCAAAAATTATGAACTTGAAACAGTAAATGATGACTCAGAATAAACGTGTTCACAATTTACAGTAGAATTGACATGACTATGAATTGTTGTATAATAGTTAAAAATTTCCATGTGAATCTAAATGTGAAGAAAATTCATAACAACTTTGGAAGAAAGACTCCTTGTCCAGTGGCTATACTTTAAAAGTTTCTTTTTTTTTTCTTTTTTTCTTTTTTTTTTTTTTGTCTGTAATCTCTGAAGCAAATGTTGGCAAAATAAAATATCAAGTTGAAGGGCATTCTTACCACATATCTGCTCTGAAATTTGATGAGAATTGGAAGAGGTTTGAGTTATATTCAGAAACGCTGCATTGGGTAACCTTGAGAAAAACATTTAATTCTTTGTGCTTTAGGACAGTCTTGTTCTTGGCTAACTTTAAGGATGTAATATAGGTATCAAAGATCAGCTATTGATATCTTTCTTGACTATAGAGGAAACCAAAATTTCAATCTTCAGGCTGGATGAAAAATTTTACATAATGAAAGTCATGCAAGATGTATCCCATTTTTAATTTTCTGTTTATTAAGACTGAAGGATGGTTTGACAGAGCTTGATGGGATACTTTGGGATATTTAGAAAGATGCTATGAAAGAGAAACAGCACTGAAATATTTTCCTCTGGGGTTTTCTTTCTTTTTTTCCAAACGGAACTCCAAACTGGGAGTCTCCCATTTAGAGCAACTGGCATCAAGAAGATATAAATTTGACCAAAGAGGTGAAAACCACATCTCACACTAACAGGGATTTTGTACATTAAAGAGTTGTTTGAAAGTAATGGAGGCTGTCAAATAAGCACTTAAATTTTTCTGAGCTGCCACTGAGGACTAGCAATTTTCAGCTGCAGTCAGATTATCCAGAAGATCCTTTGGAAGCCTTTACTCAGAGCATCAAACTGAAAATTTACGCTTTACATTCTTCCCAGTTAGCACCTTTCCTTCTTGAGTTCAAAGCAAGTTCTGAAAGCTTTCCAGGATTTGCTGATTCCCCACTCAGAATCTCTCTGCTAATTTATACCACAACAAAAAGCATAAACACAAAGAAACATAGCAACCTTTCTAACAGTCTGATACTTTACATAGGGTTTTCTGTTATTATTCAAATTGAATGAAAGGCTTAGTTTGTCCTGATAGAATTACATTTTTGAAAAATAGCAGCTGGTGCCAAGAACTGTACAATCTTCTTTATGGGAAATGCCATTAAGGTGATTGGACCTACTGCATTGTGTAATATCTAGGTGTCTCTATTTTAAAACATTTAACACTGGGTTTTCTGTTCTACCTGCAGAGAAGAAGAGCTTTTATATTTAGCTTTCATTGAAGATGTAACAAATGAAATTCTCAGCCTTGGGCTGTTTTCTAACAGGTAGGTTAGGGTTGTTTTGAAATTTGTAATGCTATGTCAGAAACACATGGACTCTGTAAGAAAGGGAAGTTGTGGTTAGTAATCATTTCTTTGCCTTTAAGAGTACCTAGATACACAGTTACCCATTGCTTTTGTTTTGTTTCCTTTTCTTTTTTGCTTTATGTAAGAAAGGGGAACTAGGAAAGACCCGTGAGTCATCTACTTTGATCTGCTGCTATACCATGAGGTAAAGCCTCTGTTAGAAACTGACCTGGAACCCTAGATGGAGTAATGCTAAGAAGAAATAATTTTACTCTGCAACAGCTGTTTTGTTAAATAAACCAAGTTACTAATATTTCACACAGTAGATCCTCCATCTCTTTTCTGTCCTTGTTCCTGCTCCAGTTATGATTTCTATCTTCAACATGAGTTGTCAGGATTGCATACTGTTTCAGATAAGGGTTCACCAGTTGCTAAATCAGATTTTTTCAATAATTAAACAATAAGTTATGATATAATTAATGTGTTTGAGTAGTACTCCCAAATCCTTTTCCATACCAGTTCTTTCTGATAAAGAACTCTGAGTTTATTGTAAAAAAAAAAAAAAAAAAAAGCCCTGCAGTATTTCTGGTACAGAATTTCAACTCATTTTTGTAATTCCATATTCAAGGCAGTCTAATTTCATCATAATCTGATCTTCCTCTGGGTTGATAATGTTCCAGCTGTTTTTCTGTTCTGTGCACTCATTTTTTTTTCACTGACAGCCTTGACGAGAAAATAAAAAAATTAATCTTTGAGAAATTATAAGAACAGTCTCCCTCTGTAAAAAAGAACCAGTAATGTTGTCTTCTCTTAAACCCCTTCTTGTACTAACATTTTTTCTTTTTTAAATAATTTCTCATGTAAGCTAGGTTAAATTTACTCAACTTTCTGGAAACCTGTTCCAGTGACTGTGTACCTTGTCACAGAACACTTCCTCTGTGCTGAAATTTTTTTCTCATACTGCTTAAGAATGGAAGAGAGTTCTCACAACTGACAACTTCTCTGTGGAATTTTTCTGAAGCTGGATTTTATTCCTTCACTTTATTTATACTTGTGCATATCAACCACTATGGTGCACCTAAGAGATTTTGGATACTTCAGCATGTCAGTAGAACCACCACTGGATTGTTGGTTTCTCCCAACACATAGACTCAACATGCAAAACCCAGAGTTGTGCTGCCAGTTACCTCATGGTTACCATCTGCTGCCCAAAGCTGGGTCTGCCTGCCATGCACGTGTCCGGGGGGATACTGACTCGGGGTAGCCCTCTTTGTGACAAAGCATAATTTAAAGTCTTAGGATCACAGAATCATTTAGGTTGGAAAAGACCTTTAAGATCATCGAGTCCAACCATTAACATAGCACTGACAAGTCCACCACTAAACCATGTCCTTAAGCATCACATCTACATGATTTTTAAATACCTCTGGTGATGGTGACTCAACTGCTTCCCTGGGCAGTCTGTTCCAATGCTTGACAACCCCTTTTCGGTTGAGGAATTTTTCCTAATATCTACTCTAAACATCCTCTGGTGCAACTAAGGCCATTTCCTCTTGTCCTATCACTTGTTACATAGGAAAAGAGACCAACACTCACCTCACTACAGCCTCCTTTCATGTAGTTGTAGAGAGTGATAAGGTCTCCTCTGAGCCTCCTTTTCTTCAGGCTAAACTACCCCAGTTCCCCCAGCTGCTCCTCACAAGACTTGTGCTCTAGACCCTTCACCAGCTTCACTGTCCTTCTCTGTACTCACTCCAGCAACTCAATGTGTCTTGTAGTGAGGGGCCCAAAACTGAACACAGCATTTGAGGTGCAGCCTCACCAGTGCCTAGTACAGGAGTAAGATCACTTCCTTAGTCCTGCTGGCCAGACTATTCCTGATACAAGCCAGGGTGCTATTGGCCTTCTTAGCCATCTGTGAACACTGCTGGCTTATATTCAGCCAGCTGCTGACCAGCAACTCCAGGGTCTTTTCCACCAGGCAGAAATCTTAGTGGTCCCATCCAGCCAAGAAATGAAAAGCCAAAGTAATTAATATATGTAGATCTGTTAAAAGTTGGTTTTCTCACTGTGAATTCATTTAATTGTTCATTTGTAGAGTTCTGGAACAACTGTTTGAGTGTCACATACAAGAAAATAAGAACCGTTTGGATGAGGTAGGTGCTGCCTCTATAATATTCTCCCCCTCTGCATATGACTTCAGCAGTGTTTTCAAAGTATAGTGGAAATGCACTGGTATACTTGCAGGTAAAGGTAACTAGGATGCTCTGTAGGGAGCATCTCTCTCCATAAATGAGATTTACAGAGTCATGAATCGTGGTAGATCAGGAGTCATGGCACAGTCACACGAAAGGAATATAATAGTCAACTCAGTTTGGTTACCCTTGATGTATAATTTAGTCACTTGACTGCAAGCATCCTCCTTTATGTCAGAACTAAGCACTGAGTTCTGGGCAGATAGGTGCTACGGGGATGGAGAAGTGTCACCCTTTTCTTCCTTCACCCCCTAGAGCAAAATGCGTCACTTCTTGGATGTACTGAAAGCAGACCTTGGCTGCAGCTCGGGCAGCAGTACGGAGCAAATCCTTGCAGGCTGGGAAGCCTCTGACTCACTCGATTTGCAAGAGGTTGATATGATGGAAGAACTTAAATTTACCAGTAAAAGTCAGATGCAAAGAAAAGCTACAAAAAGTGAAGAATTCTTTGGGACCATGGACTTGTTAAAGGAACCAAACAAATGTGAATCACCAGTGCGCAGAGATTTAAAGGAGACACAGAGCAAGGATGACTTTTCAGATGTCAATGAAATGATGAATGCTAGGCCAGGGTCTGATTCTTGTGTGAAATCTGAGGAAGACCCAGACACTTCACCCTCATGTGAGGCAACTTTAAACTTGATTACTTGTGACAGTGTTTTGGAAGCCACCAAGGAACTTGATGATCTTGAGGAAAGCTTTGCAGAGGCCCTTCATATCTCACATGACTATTCATAATCTTAGCCAAAACTTAGCTGTTAAAATAGGGATAGAGCTAGTTCTGTGGAGAACATCCATTTATTAAGTAGTAGTAAATTATTTGTTTTATTTTCAGTTTATTTCTGTTTAAGTACTGCTAAAATCTCTAGCAGAGTATTGTTAATTGGACATTAATCTGTGTTAATGTCGACTCTAAAGGGTAAAGTGTCAATTATCAAAAACTTTATATTTTGTCTATAATTGCATAACTCAGAGCTAATTTGAAAATATTAAAATTAGATGTATATTTTTAGAAAGCTGTAATAGTTATGAAATATTTATTGTTTTTTTCTTTATAATAAATTAATTCATTGCTAGTGCAATTGTGGTCCTGCTATAGAGATCCAAAATTTTGTATTCTGCAGGAATTCAACTTACCCACATGAAAACATGAATTGATACATTCTGAGATCATACTATTTAACTTGGCAGAACTGGGATGAAACAGGATGCACAATCAATGCAACGCAGTAAGGGTCAAGGCCGTGGTTCAGATAAATGAGTTTTTGCTACATGTGACCTTTAAAGCCAAAATTTTATTAAGCTGCTCCTCCACAGGCATGAGTGAGGATCAGAACACTGTCATTGCCTTGCTGCTGCCTTCTGCGCAACCTTCAGGGGCCAAATAAGTTTAAAAATTATACTGCAGCAGTGCAGGACAAAGACGACAGAGACATGGATCACATTGGAGATGCCCACATTTGTACTGCCTGCACCGAGCCCTGGCTAGAACTGCTTCAACTGACTTTCATATTGGATGAGAGGACAATAAAGTGAGTCACCATGTCAAGATAGTGGGCAGCCTTCGTGTCATTTTAGGGCATAAGGACAAACCAGACTGTTAGCAAGGTTAGTTTTGGTTTCATTTTCTAAATATTGCTGTTGTTAATTCATTATTTTTATTTGCTTGCTTACCCTCTGCTGGTAAAGATGGAGATGAAGTATGCAATAAATTTCTGACTCATTCTCTTCCACACCAGCTAGTCCAAGAATAATTTGAGAAGCATTAGGCAAGAGTTGAGTCACTAAATCAGCAGTGAAGTTCTGACTTGCTGTATGGGAGGTTATGTCACTTTCCATTGTTTTGCATAGCCCCTGGTTCACAGTGGGTGTGAAGCTCCAGCCAGAATGTGTACTGCAGCTTGCACTAGTACATAATGTTATAACTCATGCTCTGGAATTGCAAGGTTGGTTGTCTTTCCTTCAGTGGTAGAAACAACAAAAGCAGAACTGTGGGATCAGTTTGGATAATCACAGAGTGGTTTGGGTTGGAAGGGACCTTAAAGATCATCTAGTTCCACCCCCTTGCCGTGGGCAGGGACACCTTCCACTAGACCAGGTTGCTCAAAGCCCCGTCCAACCTGGCCTGGAACACTGCTGGGGGGGGCATCAATAACCTCTGGGAAACCTGTTCCAGTGCCTCACCACCCTCACAGGAAAGAATTTCTTCCATATATCTAATTTTACCCTCTTTCAGTTTAAAACTGTTAGCCCTTGTCCTATCCCTATACCCTGATCAAGAGTCCCTTCCCCCCTTTCCTGTAGCCCTTTAAGTCCTGGGAGGCCACTCTAAGGTCTCCCCGGAGCCTTCTCTTCTCCAGCTGAACCCCCCCAACTCTCTCAGCCTGTCCTCACAGAGGAGGTGTTGCAGCTCCCTGAGTATCTTCGTGGCCTCCTCTGGTCCCGCTCGAGTAGGTTTGTGTCCTTCTGATGTTGGTGCCTCCAGAGCTGGACCCAGCACTGCAGGTGGGGTCTCACAAGAGCGGAGCAGAGGGCAGAATCCTCCCCCTCGCCCTGCTGCCCACACTGCTCTGGATGCAGCCCAGGACATGGTTGGCTTTTTGGGCTGTGAGCATACATTGCTGGTTCATGGTCAGTTTTCCTTCCACTCATACCAACAAATCCTTCTCCTTGAGGCTGCTCTAAATCCACTCATTGCCCAGCCTGTATTTGTGCTTGGGATTGCCCTGACCCATGGGCAGGACCTTGTACTTGGCCTTGTTGACGCTTGCACGGATCCACCTCTCAAGCCTGTCAAGGTCCCTCTGGATGGCATCCAGTGTGTCACACCACACAGCTCAGTGTCATCAGCACTTGCTCAATCCCACTGTCCGTGTCACCCACAAAGGTGTTAAACAGCACCGGTCCCAACACTGACCCCTGACGAACGGCACTCATCACCTTAGAGAAGGTAAGGCTATGCTGCATGAATCTACAGTCACAAATTTAGAGGCACCTCTGACCCCCAAAGAAGATCTATATGGCATTCAATGGATATGAAGATTATAGGTATCCATCAAAAAGTAATAGAACTAAATGGTGATTACTATTAAATTTATGGAATAGAAAACCCATTAATATAGCACTTACCTGTAGGACTTGTTGAGCTATCCCATAGAATTTAATATTTGGGATGTAATTTTCTATTGAAATTGATGAGAGGATCCAAAAATAGAAAACTACAAACCAGATTTTTTTCTTCCATCACCTTGGTATGTATTCCTTACAGAGCAAATATATTTACATTTAGGATTTTTATCTAGAGTTGAAGTACAGAAGAACAATGTAACTTTACCCCATCACTTCTGTTGAAGTACACTGGATGCGTTTAAAAGATTAACTAAACTTGCTGCTAACATGACTTCTATATCTAAGGCTTCATCTACATTAGTTAAAATGAATATTGTAACTGTAATCAGGAGAGGTTGTTTGTGAGTGTGTGACATGGGAAAGAAAGGTTCATAAAGATGGTGGCTTTGACTTTTGGTTTTGGAAATTAGTGCATTAAGACCTTACAACTTGATATGAGGTGAGGAAATGATGTGGGCTTTAAAGTTTTCAATTCTCAGACATGTTAGAGGCAAAATTGAAATGAAGTGTGTACATTCAGTAGCATGTATTTTTTATTTTTAAAATACTTTTTTTCCCAAATCAGACTAAGACAAAGTAACACTGAATCCTTCAAGATAGACCCTACTATCCTCCACATAAATCTAACTACAGTTTGAATAATACAATAATAACACTCTAGTTTTGTTGTGATGTCCTGTCACTGTCAGAACGAGGCTGTATCTGCATCAGAATATTTTGGGCGACTTTGCTTTATGAAATAAGTTGACTTCACATTTTGATCTCAGTTTTACAAATACATCTGCTTTCTTCATTGTTCTCATAACACTGTACAACACTGATTTTTCTGGACTTTGGTCAGGAGTAGTAGCACAGTATTTAGAAATGCACGCCTGTTCTCATGTCTACAGCTAGAAATAATGCATCCATATGTGTGTGCGTATACACACACCTATTTCCTCAGAAGGTCCAAGTGCTTCTGTCATGCTCACTCACTTCTGCTACGACAGAGGCAGATTTTCTGTTCAAAACATTAAAACTTCTTGTACTTCCGAGGTGAACAACTATCAGAATATTTTAGACAACCCTTTCCTTTTTCCTTTTCCTTGCAGTCAAGAAGGTCAAGTTTCAGCTAAAGAGTTGGAAGCAGTGTTTCCCTGTTCCCCCACCTTGTCTCCAAAAATTAGTTGCAGGTTTTGCTTACCACAGCCCTTTGCCTCCTCTCCTGTGGGAACAGGTCTGAGCGGTGATTCCTCTGGTAAGACTTTTTGAAAGTCTGTATCTGTAGTCAATCATTAAAAGGCCATTTCAGTGATCCCTATCTCTACTTTAAACCCTTCGAGTTTTCCCTTTGCTGTTTTTTCTGGACTCCTTACTGAGTTTTGTCACGGCTGAAAGCAGTCGGTTTAAAAATCAGTTCGTTTTCTCGGTGACCTGGATCTGCTTTATGAATAAGTCTTAAAAGATTACGTGATTTCCAAATTCAGTTTATCAGGGTGCAGCCCAAGTCTTGGAAACCTCTCCAGCGTGATTTCTCTCATCCACTTGTGATTTGAAAGAGAATGGAGTGGGTAGGGAGCCCCGAGGGGGTGCGGTGGGGCTGCGGTGCCCGCTGCTGGGCACTAGGGGCTGCTGCGGGGCTACGCTCCCCGGCGGGCAGGGTCCCCCCCGCAGCCGGGCAGGGGGACCCACCCTCGCCCAGATCCTCCTTGCTCACCTCCTGACAGCCCAATTCCTCTATAAGCAAACATAAGGTGCGGATCTAACAACTAATTACTTCATTAGCTGCGTGTATTGATGGGGCGTAATATGCTTTCAGGCAAATACATCAGCCCAGCAGATAAAATGTGTTCATTACCTCTCCCAGTCTACCCCCTCCCCTCTTCTCATTACACTAACTTCTCTATTATAGAAATTTAATTTTGTTGTTACCCACTTTTGACCTAAAAATCTAGCTAAAGTTCAGGGCATTAAATAATCTGTTAAGAGGAGATGTTGATGAAAGTAACTTGACCTTGCTGAAGCAGTTCCTTGAGAAGGAGTTGAGCAGCAGAACAATAATCTTATTTCAGACACTGCTCAGTCAAAAAAGAGGCCTTAATCTTTAGAGAAAGTGTCAGGAAGCTTTTGTTTGTGGTGTATTAGTTTTGATCCCTGCCTCTGATCTTTTTTTGTGTGTGTGTGTTACTGGACGGATGCATGTCAATAATTGTAAGTCACCTCTGGCCCCATCTGATGGGGTGCACAGGGCACTGTTTAAAGTACTGGGTTCCATGAAGGAGACTAGAACAATCTTGCAACTATAATGAATAATGGTTATTCATACTTTGGAACAATGGAAATGTTTTAATATTATTTAAAAATTCTTTCTTTCTGGATGGAAGAACACAGATGCTCCATCACCCTCTTCTTATTTTTTCCTCTGATTTTTTCTGCACTGTTTGCTCCACCACAGGGATCTTGGGAGAGGTTGGATCTGGTTGGTGTGCAGTGACAGTAAATAAATGACAGCACTTTCAATCTACAAGGTACTTGTCAAATCAGTGTCTTGTTTAGTTTCTAGATGCACAGTGAATATTTCCCCTTGAGAGAGAGAGATTAGCTGACTGCTTACGCTAGAATATCTAGTGGGGTTAATTATCCTTGGAAATCAGAGTAAAATCCCATTGAGACACTATCAAATATTCAGGACTCTTTGTTTCATAATTCATGTGTAGATTTTGGCATATATAGTTACATTACTTTTACCTGGGTCATGTTTCTAAGGTGGTTCCTAAGTCATAGGACTTGAAGTTGGAAGACCTGAAATCTTCAGCTCCATGCGAAATGAAAACTCCCCACCAAAGTGCTATGGGAAAGGGCTAAATTCTGTGCAAATCCTACAACTGTAAAATATTGAAGGTTTTTTTTAAATTATCTCAATTTAAAACTGGCCCACATGGAAGTTATGACTATAAAAATGAAACCT